ATAAACTAAATGTAGATACTACTAAAACATTTTACTCTTTGCTCATTGAATTATTGCCCATTGATTTACCTGCCGCTTTAGCAGCCCATATTAATCATCACTTGTATTATTCAATTATTTATAGTAGTCAATACATTTCAATCAATTAAATATGTATCAAATAATTAATGGAAATTGTATTTAATTTAAACCCTCAATGCTTGAATATTTTTTATTATTATATCTAGAGGGCCATATGTATGGAATTATACAATTTTGCAACCATCATTGAAATTATAGGCACTAGGTAGCTTATAATTTCAAATATTTAGTACATTTATGAACAAATTACACTTCCCTTATGATTGTTTTGCCAAAATAAACTAACAAAAATATTTATATACTTCAATACTGATCCATATTTTAATGTATCATTTAGTATTATATTATTGATTGATTCTTATTTTAGGTGCCAAAATGATTCCATTTAAGAAGGTAGAAGAATTAAATGAATTATTTATAAGAAACAAAGACATGAGTATGTTGTTGAATGAAAAAGATAGAAGATCTTTAGACAATTTGATCAATGAATTATCTGGAGAAGATATTAATTCAAATTTACTTAAGACTATTTTGGGGCTACAGGTAAACATTTTTCCATTTTTGAACTATTAAAAATCTTTAATACTATAATTTCAGGAGAATAAATATTCCATTGAAATAATTTGGCAACTACATACAAAACAAATTATTGACTTTGCAGAATTTATCACATGGTCAGTAGAATATTTACTAAATATTTTTACTTTACTCGTGTTATATCAATTTGTTTCAGTTATAAGTGGAGTGTTGATCGTATAGTTAAAACTCTGCTATGTATGACTGAATCCGAGGAAAAGCTTTATCAAGAAATTTTGACAGATTTGTTGGGAAGTCTATTAGTTTTGTTGTCTGGAGAACCTAATCAAATATTCGATCAACACATACAAATTATTCAACAGTTTTTAGCTCAAGTACTGATTTTAAGTAAAATAAAATCAATACAAGGCAATATCTAGGCATAATTTTTTTTGGTGGGGAAAGGGTCTAAAAAGTACACATTTACACCTTATAAATATATAATTTATTGTATATGATTGTCATATTGACAATCATAATCACTTAATATGAATTTTAACATTTTTCTTAAAATGAACAAAAAAGATTCTTTATCTAAAAAATGTTGAAAGGTCTCCAGATATAGCCTTGCATCAATGTATAGGTAATGATATTAATTTACATTTATAGATTTATTTCTTCATATTTAACAGTCAAGCTTAATAATCACAAGAAACCATGATGGATGGGTCTATTTGAAAAATCTTAAATGTTCACCTTTTTTAACAAAATCAACAATTCAAAAAATATTCAAAATAATGTTAAAAAATATGCTTATAGCTGATGCCGATTTCCATTTGAATATTGCATATGAACATTATAGATTGTATAAAACTCCTGATTCTGTGTACAACATGCTTAAAATGGTTAATTTTTTCATTACTTCTAATCGGTAATAAAAATTAGTTACTTAATTTATAAATTGATGGTTATAATTTATATTATTTCAGTTTTTGGATGAAATTGATGAAGATGTTATATATGCATTGATTCAGAATGTCTTAACGCTGCATGCAGAAAAAGCCAATTGGAAATTGATATTGTCTTTAATTTCTACTTTTGTTAAAACAAAATCTCATCTATGTCATATGTTAAAATGTATTTGTTTTTCTTTCATGTA